CTATGCCCTTCCTTTATTCTGTTAACACTCACAGCAGTTTATGTATAACTAATTCTTTCAGCATCTGTCGGGCACCACACTATGCCTGAAGAGAGAAAGGGTTGATAACTGATCATCCACAACAGGTTCAGGTTCAGGCGGGAGACAGACATGGAGATGAACGAGTCTCAAACCTGCGATTCTGGGGAGCCTTTACAAATGCTTCGATCCCACTCCAAACCAACTGAGTCATCTGGGAATACAGGTATGCACCACCATGCCCAGCTCATTTTATTTTTGTGTGTTTTTTTTGAGAGATGGGGTCTTGCTATGTTGCCTATTTGTCCCACCATGGCCTCTCAAAGTGCTGGAAGCACAGGTGTGAGCCACTGTGCCCAGCCTGGGGAAGTGCATTTGTTAAACGTAATTCCCAAAGTGAGTTTAATCCATAACCAGGGTTTAGAAATACTGCTGTGGAAAAATAACTAAGCTTCCCTAAGTGGTGCTATTAGGAATGCTAAGGGGGGAGTGATTAATAACTGAGCCGGAACCCAGGCAGGTGCAGGGAGAGACAGCATCTGAGAGTGACTAAGAGGGGGCCAAACACGGGGTGGGGCAGAAGATTCCAGACCACGCGACCAGGGAGGTCAGAGAATGGCTGTGGAGAGGCAGAAATTGAGGTTTCCGCCACTAAAGAGCTCCAAGGGCCAGGATCTGTGGCTCACACCTGTAATCCCAGCACTCTGGGAGGCTGAGGCAGGTGGATCACCTGAGGTCAGGAGTTTGAGACCAGCCTGGGCAACACGGCGAAACCCCATCTCTACTAAAAACAAATTAGCCAAGTGTGGTGGTGGGTGCCTGTAATCCCAGCTTACTTGAGAGGCTGAGGCAGGAGAATCGCCTGAACTCTTGGGGGCGGAGGTTGCAATGAGCCAAGACTGCACTCCATCCTGGGAGACAGAATGAGACTCTGTCTCAAAAAAAAAAAAAAAAAAAAAAAAATCTCTAGGACCAATCCCTGGGGATATGGTCACCTAACTAATTCTGGACCTGTGGGGATAGTGACTCGAGATGTGTGGATAGCATGGGCCAGTATCTTGGAGGAGCAAGGCTGTTTGCCCTTGGAGGCCCAGCTTGACTGCCCTCAGGTAATGGCTCTTTCGAGCACCAAAATGGCAGGTCCCAGGTCTGTATCTACCTACAGCCGTCAGTCCGGCTTCAGGTTTGCCGTCTCAGCTCTCAGTGCAGTCATTCTTTTATAGGAAGATCTCATTTGCTGCTCCCACTCCCTCATTTCCCCCTAGTTCTTTTTCACATAGGGGCCAATGATTCCAAGATTTCTTTGGAAAAAAAGGTGGAGGGAGGAATGGAGGATGGGTGTTTATGAGTCTGTGTGTAGGTGAGGGTGTGGCCAGGGTGCGGTCTGAAGCATCCATTTGCAAACCCACAATTTCAAGTCTCGGGGTTGGAACCCTACCTGCTGCCTCCCCCATCAGGGGTAGATCCCGGTTACCCGAGGCTAATCCCCAACAATTGCATTCCCCTTGGACACTCACTAGTTTGGTGACATGCACTGACTCATTCCCCTGGGGCACTCACAAGTTTGGCGACACGCACTGACCTCTGGCCTAAGCCGTTCACCTCATGGCCTCCCCCAGCCTCATGACTGGCCAGGAGTGGACGTGTGATCTAGCCGGTCCACCACAATGATGTCTCTCCTTCTGCTTGGATGTGAAGGACAAAGCCTGTAGGCCCTGTTGTTCTCAGCAGTTAGTTCACTTTTGCACTTACTGGGATGGGCACCAATACATTTCATGATCGTTTAATCAGTCTATGGTCGATTATTTCAAAGATAATCCCCTATAAATTCTCTGCATGATAATCCCTCATAAGGATTAAGAGTTCTCATAATCCCTCATAAGGATCCCTGTCTGTACATGGGATCCTCCCACCATGAAGTGAAATCTGTGTCCTTATCCCTTGAATCTAGTCTGGCCTCAGAATGTATTTTCCCCAAAAGAACATGGTAGAAGTCGTATTCTAAGGCTTCCAAACCCGGGCCTTACAGGCCGTGTAGCGTCCGCATGGACCCTCCTGGGCTGCCATGTGAGAAAGCTCGGGCTAGAGCACCGATTGATGAGAAGCCACAGAGAGAGGCAGCAAGGCCAGCCTGCCCCCAGGCTTTTGAGATACCAGCTATGTGACCAGAGCCACAGGAGCCTTCCAGCCCCAGCAGAGCCCCCAGAAGAATGCAGCTGCAGGCCCATCCCAGCCAACACCAGGTGGAGCAGAAGCGGCATCTCCCCGATTCCACAGGGTCCCAAGAAATGGAAACTCACTGTTGTTTCCACTCCTGCACTCACGGTCATTCATCACACAGCCAAAAATAACTGACTCACAGGACATCTTAGTCTGCTCAGGCTGCTATAACGAAATCCCTTAGATGGCAAGGCATACACACGGAAGTTTGCTTTCCACAGTTCTGAAGGTTGAGAAATCCAAGATCAAGGTGCCAGCAGATCTGCCATCTGAGAAAAGCCCTTTGCTCACAGATGGCCTCCTCTAAAGGTTTTCACATGGCAGAAAGGGCAAGCAGGCTCCCGAAAACCTCCGTTTTAAAGGGCACTAATCCCATTCCTAATCACCTCCCAAGGCCTTCACCTCTTAATATTTGGGATTAGAGATTAGGTATTTGTGATTAGGTTTCCACATGTGAATTTGGGAGGTCACTTTCAGACCATGGCATAGGGTGAATTGGACTCTCTGCTTTTTAATGGTCCTGACTTTTTTTCACAGATTTACAGAGAAGATGCTATGTTAGAAACAGAAAATCCAACTCATGTGGTTTCAATGAAGATGTTGTCTCTCATAGCAGGAAATTCCAGGTGAGGGCAGCAGGATTTGGGGGAATTGCCTGATTGTGTCGCTGAGGACCCCTGCTCTTCTCATCTTCCCAGGCGGCCATCCCCAGGGTGAAGATGCTCTTCCGGCCCCCTTCTTTCGAGGGTGCAAAGGGCTGCGGAGTACCAGGCATTGCATCCAGACAGGGCATGCAACGTCTGCCAGGGAAAAAGGAGCATTTCCTCTTTACACCCTTGTAAGAGTGAGAAAACCTTTGCCAGACATCCCCCAGGAGGCTTCCTGTTGGGACTCATTGACTTGAGCTTGTTTGAAGCCAATCATTGGAAAGAGAAATCGAGTTACCAACATTTTCTCAAAAGAGATAGAGTTTACTCTTAGCCACAGAGACGGTGGATACCTGAACCGGCAAGGATAGAGATGGCATGGCTGCCACACTGGTAACCAAGGGTGTGTTTCACTACAGGACAAAAACCAATTCGCATTTACCACTGAACAAGCAGACACTCCCGCCAGGCAGCCTTGATCTAGCGCCTCCTCTGGCTGCGCCTCCACCCTAACCCCACAGTCACAGTTTACAAGGTGGAAGCTTAGTCAAAATCTGCTCCAGCAGTCAGGGGTCCTGCAGGAAACAGGAGGTGTTCTTGGGAGGGGATGTGGAAGCCAGTTTGATGACCGGACGGTTTGCTGTGGTGCGGTCATGGTTCCAGGACCCTTCCAAGGGGGCCGTTATTCAGGGACCAGCAACAATGGCAGGCCGACAGCCTGTCTCGCCTTACAAGGCATGGGGTGGGGAGAAGTTCTGTTCGTAGAGCCTGGATGAGTTATGCAATGGAAAGGGCACCCAGGAAGAACGGTAGCCACAGAGGGACACCAGCACCGGCTGGTGTGGGGACAGGCCGGGAAGGAGAGGCCGGGAAGGAGAGGCCGGGAAGGAGGGGAGGAGGGTCCCTGCCTCTCTCCCACCCGGTCTGCAGCGGGTGCCTCTGTGGGTGAGGTCCGCCGAGGGGCCACGGGCTTCCTGAGACAGGGCAGGTGGAGCAGGCCAGGGAGCAGGCTGGAATGGAAAATGGGGAGTCAGTTGGTGCTTTGGCCGACCAGAAACGGGAGCCGCGTTTAGTCACTGTGGCTACTGTTCCCTAGTACTCATTTCTGTTCGTCTAAAAAGTGGCTGATGCCCTTTCGTTTCCACAAGCACTCGAGAGAACATTCACGTTCAATCGCATTCCCGAGACCCAGGTGTGGCAGCGGTCTCCACGGGCCATCAAGAGGCGTTGGCTCTCTGGTGTCATCAGTGACATCTGTGGCAGGAAGACGGGAGGCTGGAAACCAAGTGTCTCAGTTCAGTCGAGGCCGACGATGGACTTGAGAGCAAAGCGCTCATCCCGGGCTGCGCGCACTGGCCGTGGGGGAACAGGGGCACCTCTGGGACTGAACCGCGCTGTCTGTGTGGCACCGAGTTCTCAGTCCAGTTCCCAGCCAGCAGCGCTGGGACATGCCACGGGGAACGGCAGACCAGCGAAGCCGCGCTCCTCTTCGTGGGTCACCCACCGCTCAGGCCACCAGAGTGTCTTCTGCTGTCCCAGCTCTGGGGCCTGAGGGCCAGAGGCCAGGCCCGGGAACCACCCGGTTCGGAGCCAGCCGCTTCCTGTCGCAGCTCGCCTCAGCCTGAGGCTGGCCGGGGGCAGCCACCTGAGGAGCGCCCCTGGGTCACCACCTGCAGAGCAGGAGACGCCTGCGGGCTCCGGCGCCACGTTCAGGGGCGAGACCCAGCCTCGGCTCAGGGGACCTCCCCCTCGCCTGGCTCCGCGCTCCCCCCGCGGCTTCCGCCCCGCGATCTCCCCGCCACCTCGAGCCTTCCCGGCGGAGGATAAAAGTTTCCCTGCAGGAGCCCGGGAAGGCAGCCCCGGGACCCTGGCCGAGCCTCCGGTCCCCGGTGCCTGGCCCCGTCCCCGCCCGCCCGCGCCTGCGCCCCGGGCGGCGGAAGCAACAGGGAGTCCCCGCCGCAGCCTCTGCCCTCCGCCCCCGGGTCCCGGCCCGGGCGAGCTGCGAGGGGGCAGGGCGGGCGCGGGTGCGACGCGGTGTGGGCGCGGGGCGGGCGGGGACGGGCGGGGACGGGCGCGGGGCGCATGCTCACTCGCGCCGGTGACGTGCGCGCCCGGAGCAGGGGCAGGAGCCCGCGGGGCCCGGAGGCTCCAGAGGGCGGCGGGCCGGGGAGGAGGAGACGCGCGAGGAGCAGAGCGCAGGCTCCGCCGCGGCCCGGGCGCTCCGGCCGAGCCAGCCCAGCGGGCGGACCCACGGGGAGGAGGCGCCGGCGCGCGCGGCCCCCAGCAGCTGCCCGCGGAGCAGCCGCCGACGCGCGGGGCCGCGGACCCAGCCTTCGCCGCCTGGCCGGGCATGAGCGCGGAGGGGCCGCGGCCGCCCCCTGCACCGCCCGGCGCGCTAAGGCCGTGACCGGAGCGGGGGGCGCGGCCGCACTCGAACCCCGGAGCCCATGGGCGCGCCGAGCCGGGCGCGGGGGCGCTGAGCGGCGGAGCGGGCGCGGCCGGAGGAGCCATGGACTGCAGCCTCGTGCGGACGCTCGTGCACAGATACGTGAGTGCTCCCAGAGCGGGCGGGGACCCGGCGGGCAGGTCGGGGGGACCCGGGCACCAGACGCGGGCCGGCCGCGCAGCCCCGGCGTCCCGGAAGAGCTCCGAGGTCGGGGACGCCGGCCGCCCCGGGGACGACGGGGATGCTGGGGAGCGGCCAGGGTTGACACCCTGGGGCTTCCGACGGGGTCCAAGTGACACCGCGCGGTCCCCGTCCCGGGCCGCCACCTGCCCCCGGGTCGCAGCCGCCTCCCGCTCCCTTCTAGCGCGCGGCGCTCCGGTGGTCCTTGGGGAGCCTGACTGGGGTTCGAGCCGTCCCAGCGGACCGGGCGCCCCGAGGGAGCCGACTTGGACCCGCCGGGGCCCGGGTCTGGGAAGGAACCTTAGATGCGGCTTCCGCGCAGCCGTGTCTGCGAGGAGATTAAGGGTTTGGGAGGAAGTGTCTCACTTGTGCAGAAGAAGCTGGCGGTTGTGTTTGTTCCTCAGCACCCCGGGGGATTCAGAGCGGAGTGTGCAGTCGTGTTATTTTTTTTTACCTTAAAGTGACTAATTAGATCCGAAGCCCGGGGTCTCCTTGGTTCCCCTGGAACCTGCCCCTTCAGTGACCAGCCGCTGGAGAGCTCAGGAGGGAAGGCTTCGAAGGGGAAAAGTTGGTTTTGTTTTACACCGGAGGAGGGGAAACCGGCGTCGCTGGCGTTAGGTGTGAAAAGGGGTGTGTGTAGGAGAGGAAGAAAACTGTCCCAAGCACAGCGCTTCCTGCCCCCGCCTTGCACAAGAGGCTTCATTGTTCCACAGCGGCTGGCGGTCAGCGGTCAGTCACAGGTTCGAGAAGTTGCAGGCACCGGCTTTGGTACCAGAGAGGGCAGAATTATGGGAACTTTGTTTCCTGGCATAGGAATGACCTCAGGCAGTCTTTCATATTTATGAGCTTTCTTTAAATAGGAGACCTTGGCCAAAGATAGGTTTCTTTTCACTTGGGGATGCCAGATCAATCAATGCTTTCCCCCGGATTTATTTACTAACCGAAAACCTCGCAGAGTCAAGCGAGCCTGAGTCCAGCTCGCCTGTTTCCTGGTGTCGGGGAAGCCGTAGGAAGCTCAGCCTGCTTTACCTAAGGGGAGAGAACTCACCTCTGGCGATTCTGATGACTCTGGATGCTAGATCCTGAAAGGCTTAGCTGCAGAAGCCTGGTGTTATTCCCCGACTGACGCCCCAGCCCCCAGTTCCTGTCCTAATGTTAATGTGAGTGGTAAGCATCATGCAATATGGTAATGTTTCTCTATGGTAATGTTATAGAAGACCCGGTAACAGTGACTGTAGGTGACCTGACGTGTAAAAAAAAATGCTTTACTGGGCAGGAAGCTTCTGTTCCCAGTTGTGTCACTCGGAAGTGTGGGTCCCTAGACAATTCATTTTCCTGCCGTGTTTCCTCCGAGGCACATGGAAGAGGGAAGGGGCCAATATTCACTTTACCTGCGCCCACGGGGCTCCCAGTTCACTCGGTTCCCTCCTGACATTCGGTGTGAAAAGGGCGGGTCATGTTGTAGGGCTCCTGGGCAGCCTCTCTCTGTAGAAATGAGAGCTGCATGGGCCAGCTCGGCTCACCCTGTGGAGAATCTTGCCTTCCCGGCGAGTTCCTGACCCTTTCTTCTTGGGGCGGGCGGAGACAGAAATCCAGTTTTGATGCTCTTACTGGCTTCCCGTCTCCAAACCTTCAGCTGTTTTCCGTTACGTAGATCTATATGTGTTTGCGTAGCTTACAACTTTAATTCCTCTTTGCTATATTATTACGCTTGTGGCATCACATTTTCTCGTAATCTAAGGGGTAAATATTCTTGAATGAACTTTTCCATGGTATATATTGTTTGATAACGTCTCAGGAATACAAGCTAGGGGATAGGATTATTTCTGTTTTTCTCATTCCACATTTTTTTTCCCCAGTGTATTCATCTGGCTGCCTCACCCGTATTTACACAGAAAACCATTCATTTCTATAATTTTAATTTCATGTCTATGGTATGAAACTAATTTGACTTTCCAGAAACAGCCATGATCTGTTTTCTTGTAATTTCATTATCTTCCACTGTGTAGGACTAAATTATATCTCCTTTTGTTACAGGAAAAAAAGAGTCTGGGATTGAATACTCACATTTCCTTATGCTCTCCTTATGCGACGTATTTGATAAAAAAGGATAAACAGGCCCTCTTCCCTCCCAGTGTTCACAGTCAGAATTCCTGGGACAAAGAAAGCTTTGCAGCTACTTCTGATGTGTGAGGGTCACTAAAAGATAAAGAAGTCCTTGGAAAACATTGCTGTAGGCATATTATTGTGGGTTAACTCCGGAGAGATAGAAGAGGCAAATGAGTGAGAGAACAGTTGAACGTTAGGCGGTGTACTCCACACTCGGGGTTCTGGTTGTTTGGGTGTTTGGATGGACAAGGAGCCACTTTGTATTTGTACAAAGAGATACTTTGTATTTGTAAATGGTGTAGTGTTTGTATACCACGAGGAAGTGCATGTGCCCACAGGGTAATGTATGCTTCATGGAGTTGGTGTATGTGCTGTGGTGCGGCGGTGGAGAGTGTGTGTGCTGTGGGGTGGTGTCTGAGCTGTGGGGTGGCGTGTGTGCCATGGAGTGGTGTGTGTATTGTGGAATAGTGTGTGTGCCGTGGGGTAGTGTATATTCCCTGGGGTGGCGTGTGTGCCGTGGAGTGGTGTGTGTATTGTGGAATAGTGTATGTGTCGTGGGGTAGTGTATATTCCATGGGGTGGCGTGTGTGCCGTGGAGTGGTATGTGTATTGTGGAATAGTGTATGTGCCGTGGGGTAGCTCGTGTGCCATGGCGTAGCATATGCATTGTGAGGTAGAGTATTTGCTGTGGGGTGGCGTATGAGCCATGGGGTAGTGCGTGTGCCATGCGGTAGTTTGACCTACATGATGTAACACTTTAAAAACATTTTTAGGCTGGGTGCAGTGGCTCACGCCTATAATTCCAGCACTTTGGGAGGCCAAGGTGGGCGGATCACCTGACGTCAGGAGTTTGAGACCAACCTGGTGAAACCCTGTCTCTACTAAAAACAGAAAATATTAGCTGGGCATGGCGACGTGCACCTGTAATCCCAGCTATGTGGGGGACTGAAGCAGGAGAATCGCTTGAGCCTGGGAGGCGGAGGTTGCAGTGAGCTGAGATCCCACAATTGCACTCCAGCCTGGGCAACAAGAGTGCAATTCCATCTCAAAATAAATAAATGCTTTTTTTTTTTTTTTTTTTTGAGATGGAGTTTTGCTCAGTTGCCCAGGCTGGAGTGCAGCGGCGCGATCTTGTCTTACTGAAACCTCCGCCTCCTGGGTTCAAGCAATTCTCTGGCCTCAGCCTCCTGAGTAGCTGGGATTACAAGCACCTGCTACTGTGTCTGGCTAATTTTTGTATTTTTAGTAGTGGGGGGGCGGGCGGGTTTCTGGATGTTGGCCAGGTTGGTCTTGAACTCCTGACCTTGAGATCCACCCACCTCAGCCTCCCAAAGTGCTAGGATTACAATAAAAGCATTTTTAACAGCGTGGGTGGAGAGCTAATTCCATTTCCTCTTCACCTGTGTTGTGAGCTGAGCAACACAGATTCAGGTAGTTTAAATTCTGAGAGAAATCAGGGCAGCCTCAGAGGGTGGTTGCGTGCTCTCCGGGCAGTGGCCTGAATGCTGAGTGGGAGCCTCCCCTGCCCTTCTTAGCTATGTGGCCTTGGGCAAGTGGCTTAATTCCTTCTGCCTCAGTTTTCTCAGCTGAGGGTAAGAGCGGTACTCATTTCATAGCTATTGTGAGAGCTGAATGAGGTAATCTGTGTGGAAAACCAAGAATGGGACCTGGCTCCCAGGAAGCCCTCGGTCCGTTTGTCATGCCTGGCTGCGAACAGCCGAGTCCCTGGGTAGGTTTGGCTGGGGAGAAGGCAACGCTGTGGCCTGCCGGTTCTGTTGCTCAGCCACCCGTGGGTCCCAGCCTGCTGGCATTGTGGGTCACAGGAGAGGTAAACCAGGCGCGCTGACAGCAGGCATGGTGTGGAGGTCAGGTAGGATGCACAGAGCTTTCCACTGCTGTGGTAGCATGGCCCTCGATCTCTGTGAGGCTGCGCACCCTAGCCTGGGCAGCACGCTTCCCTCCCTCTTCGTTTCCATGCCTCCATTTAGGGCGTTTGCATTTTCCTCGCAGTTCTGTGGCTCGAGAGCTCAATCTTGTCATGGCCCCGTAATTTTTTTTCAGTGATTCAGCCCAGATACTCCTTGTTAGTTTTGTGCTTCTGTTTGTTTCACCCTTACCATTTTTGCTTCCTAACATATTTGACCTTCTAAGATGGAAAACATTGAAAGGTCTGAAGGCTTTCTTTGCTGACAGTAGATGCTTGATTTCAACACAAACTGTTACTTTAGACATTTTTTTTCTATGAGAAAAATAAACATTTTTGCTTCCTGAGAACTTTAAGCATTGCTGTATTGGAGTGTGGTAAACCTTCTAGAAAGTCCAGCTATTATGCATATGTATCCGCTTCTTTATTCCCAAACGGTGTGTAATGTGAGCATCAGTGTTCAACTGTAATATTGCCTCTTCTGAAAGACAGACTTATTCATTCGACTCCGTTATGCCAGCCCCTGTTTTAAAACTTCAGAAATGCCACATCGTTTTGGAGTTTCGTTTCCTAATCCAGGATTAGATGATCCAGTGGGGCCTTGCTGTTGTTCAGCCGCTGGAGTCTACACCACAGGACCACTACGTTAAGCCGCTTTGGCTGCCAAGGTCTTCAAGTATTTGAAATAAGTGAGTCCTGAGGCGTAGAATCCAAGACTAATAATCTGCCTCCAGCAGTGTGGTGGCAAGCCTGCAGTCTGAGCTCGGAAAACGTTTCTCATGAACGAATGTGTAACTGGGCAGCTCATCACACAAGTGCACCAGCTGTGCAGTTCTTGTCTTCAGGGCCTCAGGTTTTCCACCTGGATCTTTCAAAGCAATCTGCCTAG